GGAATAAATGTCAGTCAAAGTACCGCAGCGCTGAATACTGAAAAATGGCCTGGATGGGAAGGGGGTTTAACTCCCTGGATGTCAACTGGTTAATGGTGTATTAATTACAATGTTGCATACATTTTTTTATTTTATATCTGCCTAGTTCAGCTTTAACGTGTGACTCTGGCCAGTTTTGTCACTCTAGGGGATGTTCTAACACAAAGTAATACTTAACTTACTGTGTGGTCCCATGACAGCTGGCAGTCCTCTTCTCTCCGACACTGGAATGCAGGTGGGCACACCTACTTCATCATGAACAATGCACCACCAGCAGTCATGGCACCAGGATGGGGGTGTGTGCACTAGTTCCCCATTGTACATGATGAAAGTAAGAGAGGGCAGCAAAGGGACCAGCTGAACACAGACAAGTAGAGTGGGGTTAGGCGCAAATGTATCTCCCTTTCTTAGTTTTGTATGGAGTAGGGAAAGGTTACATCTGGGGAGATGCTCAGATTAAGACAGAATGTGGTCCAAACCTGAGCTTCTCTGAAACCAGAAGGGGCATAGGGTCAGCTGCTGTGTGTAGCATTCCTTGCCCCACAGCTGCACATAAGCAATAGAATGATTGTGGTGGCATCATTGATGACATTGATATCGTCATTGATATTTGGTCAATGTTCTTTACCAAATATCATGCAGCTGAGAGCGGGGATTCCCTGGCAATAGCTGCTTGAGCAACAGCGGAAGGAGCTTCCTTCCAGGTTCGAAGGAGCTCAGGTTTGGACCGAACCCAGACTGAACCTGAGCTCATCTCTAGCTTTAACCTCCTGTCTTGCTGACAACGTGTCACCTCTAACTTCCTATTGTTCCTCTGAAACAGGAAGTGATGAGCAATCTGCACAACAGATATAGACAGCAAAAGAAAAAAACAAAACATTACAGGAGATTTCACTCTTCACTACTCCATGCAAACCTTAAAAAAAAAGTTTGATATATTAAATTTTTTTTTTCCAATAGAGAATCTCTTAAAAGAGAACTATGGCCAAACCTTTGTTGGTCGCATTTCACTTTAGGGTCAAAGGAGGACATTTACTAATTTACTAATGTCCTCCTGTGACCAAAAACTCAGCACATAGCATGCGACTGCCCACTGTATGCTGACAGCGCAGAGCCACGCTGTAGCCAGGAAAGATCCCGACAATATTGACGCATCCACCCCACTGCCTGATTGACAGCTGGCTCTCCCTCACTAAAGCCAGCTGTGCCCGCCCCCTCCCCTGTCTGTCCCTCCAATTTTTTTTTACTAGATTTCTTGAATCCACATCACCTTTTTAACTAAATAGTAGAAAATACAGAAGTTCAAGAGGCAGAACCCTGCTTATCCAATGTTACATAAGCGGCGCATGGCTGAAAAAGAGGATTTATCTTTGAATTACATATTCATATCTACATTAGCATTTCAGGCTGACGTTTTCACACTTAATCTGCATTTCTGGTATTTTTTGTGTGCAAACTTCTGAAATCCCATTTATTATTTAAACATCATGCTCAAGCAGGCTCCATGCGCAATTTACATAACATTTTAAAAAACCAATAGAATTATCAAGCCGGATCATATATTTCATTAAATAAACATGAATGTAGCATTTGAACAAACTGAACTGTAACACTGAAATAGTATTACATTGGACAGCTCTGTTAAAGGAGAACTATGACATAAGTGATTTCCACTCACCTCATAGTTCTAAGCCGACGTGTGACAATGAGACTGTCACAGGTCGGCTCAGTAGATCGGGAGGTGAGGGAACACATACCGGGTTCCCTCACCTCTCGATCCTGTCACGGCTCTCTGCCGTGACAGGGGGAGGGGCTGGATTCCCCTCTCCCCGCTCCGATCTGCCAGCGCTGACTGGCGGAACGGACGGGGGAGGGGGCGGGTACAGCTGGCTCTGCCTCTAGATAGGCAGAGCCAGCTGTCACTCACGCAGCTGGGTGGATCCCGTCATCTAAGTCGGGATCCGCCTGTAGCTCGCGGTATACTGAGCTTAGGGTAACGGGAGGACGCTAGTTTGTGTCCTCCCGTTACCCCAAGGAGAACTATGGGGAAAAACACTGACCCCATAGTTCTCCTTTAAGTCTCAGCTACAAGTGCAATGCTGCTGTTTTCAAACTACAAGTCTCAGCAGATGTAGTGACTGAGACTGTGCCAGGTTTTGGAGGGGGTAAATGTTAGCATTAATATTTTCGCATTACTGGGCTTTTTTAAATTAACTCAGAGACACAACCCATATTAGAGTCCAGCATGCTTTGCAAACTAAGTATCATGGATGAATTGTATAATAAGTGTTTATTTGTAAAAATTAAAGTGATATTAAAATCAATAGGTTTTTAAGCTAATTCAAATGCTGATGAAATCACTTACAATGGATGCTGCTCCTTGATGTTTATAAGTTTTAAACTCCTGCAAAATCAGCTGGTTCCCTGAGCACTGGCCCTGATATCCTATTTTATTGTGGCTGCTTTCCCTTGCACAGAGCCGCACAGAGCGTCACAGGTTACTAAGAGCTCTCAGTAATCTGGGATGCTGTTGCCGCTCCCCTGGCACCCTCGCCACCACCCAGCCTCCCCCACTGAGATGCCGCCTGAGGCAACCACCTCGGGCATCCACGTTAATGGGACAGCCCTTAGTGTATGGAACACAAGAACACACCTCTGTAGGTTTAGGAGTCCAAAAGTATATGTTTCATTAGAGATGTGTTTCAGGGTTTATAGCATTCCTCCTTCATCAGTGCTAATAAGGACATAAACCATATCTATGTAATAACAAACTGCAATAGGATGTAAAAAATAGAGGATATAAACATTGAAGATAGGTATGGGCAGATGTAGATGGTATAAAAATACCAAAATAAAAACATTAACATAAAAACATTAGCTGTATTTTACAATGTGTTCAAACATAATTTAGAAGAGATTGTTGCACTGAATTACTGAAATGATAAAGTTAAAATGAGTAAAAGATTATATTATGCATTTTGTTTTCATGGCAAGTAGATGTTAATGATGTGGATATCTAGACTCACTGTATGTAACAATATTCTACTGATATATCACAAAAAGGGAAGATTTTGTAAATGTATTGATGTGGTAGAAAACTGTATTAAGTAGCCAGCATCCTTGTAAAACGATACAAACCTAAAACTTGGAAACAGCGTGAAATATTGCTAATCTGTATTCCACAGTTGTCATTGATGTGTTTGAAACAGAGAGGTAAAGGTATTTTGTCAAACATTACAGCAATAAAACACAGAGGAGTGTAGATGACAATACTTTTACTTTTCTGTTTCCAAATGCATCCATAACAACTGTGGAATACAGATTAGTAATATTTCCTGCTGTTTAGTCCAGTTCCAAGTTTCAACTTTGTATATGCTGCTACATGTCGTGCAAAACATGCGGTAGATGAACTGTAACAGGAGAGAGTAGTCAGGTCTGGGCAATAATCTAGGCAGGGGACAGGAGAGACTAATCAGGTCCAATCCAGGTCGGCAACAGTCAGGGAAGGAATAAATATTATATTGCTATTGTTCAAGGATAGCAGATAATGAAGACACAACACCAACCACCAGAAAGGAAAGCATTTAAATACCATCCAAGCCAGTAGGGACAGCCGGCGTCAGGGACACACATCCATGCATGCTAATGCACGTGCGGCAACTCGTATTTAATCACATGTAACTACTAACTAACATGTAACTACTAACATGTATGAGCATGACTAGCCATAGCCAAAAGACCATAAGCTGGCATTCAACATGAAGCAGATGGACAGGATGGGCCATGCCCTGACAAAACAGACATAGATCCTAGAGTTACAATAACAGAGCCATACTCAACAGAACTTGGTCCCAGATTTTATTCATAATTGGTAAATAGAGAGTGGATTTGTACTCCTTCTGGGCTAACAGATAGAATCAGTAACAATAATAAATACATGTTTGAGCTATATACATTAAGATGGTATAACGTTTTATAAAATGTAGAACGTTTTCTCATATTTCTTATCTTAACTCAGTAATGATTGCTGCTTTGACATTACCACAGCCTCATGCATGGCTGGAATGCTTGGAAATTCCTAGGAACTTTTTGACTTTCTGAAAGTCAAACCTTGCTCCGACTCTGCTTGCCCTGCCATGTGACAGCTGCTGGGCCTAGCTGTTGGTCAATCAGGAGTGCTGTATTGAAGGAAGCAGTAACGAATGTTGCATGTTCATAAGCTGAGGCACCTTGAGATGCCTGGTGTGTGCTGTGAAATGTACCAGACACGAATGTAAAGTACCGAAGTTGATTTCATTAAAGGATGAGCCCAATAAAAAGCCACTGTGTTTGGAGGTTTTGAGGCCAGGTTCACACCTGGGCGATTCGTGACCGCACGGCAATCGTGCACATTGTCGTGCAGTCACGGAGTCGCCACCACGACGATTGCACTGGCAGTGCCATTATTTTCTAATGGCAACGCAGTTGCGACGGGCAAGTTGTGCGGTTTCCCACCGCGATTCCACCTGTGCAGATGAACACACGGCTAAAACAGCTGTGCATCATGTGTCACAAAAAAAGGTACATGTACCTTTTTTCTGCGATTGCCGTGAAGATGTAACCCCATTGAAATCAATGGGGCCGCACGGCAATCACTGTGTGCAATTGTGCACGACCACGCGGTCCCGAGACACGCATCCCGGATCGCCCAGGTCTGCACCGGCCCTGAAGGTCCTCCATCAGAGCCTAACTTTAGCCATAAAGTGGAATTTGAACTTTGTAATAGTGTAGTAATCCCAAATGGGAGTTTGAAGCCTGCTGAAGCCAGCAGGTGCTCCAAACTCTACCGCTCCTCCATCCCATCCCTGCAAAGTTAGATTGAGTAGGGGTTTACTTTAATGTCCACTTAAAAAAAAGAAGGCATGCATTCCCTGAGAGCAGTTTGTTTTCTTCATATCTCATATGTTGTGTTTTTATTCTAGGTTGTATCAAGTGAATTTTGATGCACCCACATGCGACGGGAAACGGAGGGAAAATCTCTCACTAATAGGAGACTTTTCATCTTCTGCTGAGTTCTTTGTCACAATTGCTGTGTTTGCCTTCCTCTACTCTCTGGCCGCCACAGTAGTCTACATCTTTTTCCAGAACAAGTATCGAGAGAACAACAGGGGGCCCCTAATTGTAAGTCTTGCAGTCACTTTACTATTTATTAACACAGTATAATGCGTGTGCAAATTCCACTCTATTGTTCCAGAAATAGTAACGCAATGCCATGGTACACTGGATAGCATTTTACAACCTTAACTGAATACTCTAGTTATGCTAAAACATATAATTGCTACTCATAGCTATACATTTTGTAATTTATTGTTATTAAAATGACATTTCAATCTTCACACAGCTGCAGCCTTCAACTGCAGAAAAAAATCAGATTTTGATCCACTGGAACCATGACAGTACTGGGGCACTCTGTGCACAGTATCTGTACGAAGTATTCACAGAATTCTGATTTTCTGCTTTTATGATTGGCTCCTTGCTTTCCTTAGAAGTGTGCAGATAGCTTGAGGAAAAATTTCAGGCATCTTCTGCAATGTCCTAAGGTTTACTGCAGAACACCTTTCATCCTTTCATCACTGGTATTAATTTAGCCGTACATCTATAGAGGTTCTTGGGATGCAGTGTTTATCTAATTCTATAATAGGAACTGAGCAGGCAGATGCTCACATTCAGCAGTTTGAGGAAGGTTACCTTATTAATATCTACAGAACAGAAAAAGTCAAGAATGTGTAATGCAGTTCGCCAAAATCCTTGCAATGTATACAATAGACTGGAATGGTTTTTGCTTTTTCAGCACAATTTTAATTTGCTTTAAAATGAGTTGGGTACATGATACCATTAAATATACACCATACACCATTAAATATAGTATTTGGTTAATTGTATTTCTCCCTCGTTTTTTTATACCAAGAGAAAAAAAATATGTAGTAAAAGCGTTGAGTGAAGCAGGTGGATACATTATTAACTTGAGCATCACCAAATGCAATGGGTATTACATAGAGAATACAGAAGCAGTATCCCCCAGAGTCAGTATTAGTGTACACAGTCCGTAAAGACATTGAAACCAATATCACACCAAGGTTATTTGTAGACTGACGAAAGATCTTACTTAAGGTGCCCATACACTGCACGATTCTCGTATAAGAATCGCGGGAAATCCCGCGATGGTACGATAATCATGCAGTGTTTGGAAGGCGTGCGACCATTTCTACTGTGCGGTCGCATGTCTTCCGTCGAACAAGCAGGCTGGAAAACCCGCGAGTTAGTGGCCTGCTTGTTCGACAACTGCCGAACAGGCCGGTGTGCGCACGCGCACACTGCCCGTTTGCAGTAATTGGAAGCCCGCCCCTCATTGCAGTCACAGGGGGGCGGGCTTGCGATGATCTCAAGTATGATCTGCCTGTCCAAGATGGGCAGATCGTACGTTTTTTTAAGAACTTTACAACCCTCGCAAGACAAAAGTCTTGCGAGGGTTGTAAAGTGTATGGGCACCTTTACAAAGATATTTTCATAGACATTTACATCTATTCATTACCTGGCCATCTGATTTTAGAGGGAAAAAAATATGTTCTTCAATGCTCACTATTGATTCCGCAAAATAAGGCTGTTGCCAGTTGTCTCTGCTATTAATGGCACTTGAGAGAGATGAATCATGTTGGGATGAATTATGTTAGACACACTTTGGAGATTACACCAATGAATGGATCATTTGGAATGAATCATGGCTGATATGTATCAGAATTTTAATAAATTAATTTATGTATTTTGGGCTATCTAATAAGAAGGGATGAATCATGTTGGTCAAAATTGGGATATCGCATCAATTAATGTATGTAATAATGTTATTTATGAGTTTTATCCACTGCAATGACTAAGAATTATTTTACTGCAATTCATTTTATGTACAATAAATTTGATATATTTTTACGCATGGTTCAATATATATCTCTCTACAAACCCTTTCTTTCACCCTTTTTTTCTTAAGAAATATACTATATGGACAAAAGTTTGTCAACAACTGACAATCACACCTATGTGAGCTTACCTCATACCTTTCCAAAACCATTAAATTAATATTGAGTTGCCTCCCCCCAGCTATAACAGCCTCTACTCTTCTGGGAAGGCTTTCCACTAGTTTTTAGAATGTTAGGAGAGACAAAAGGCCTTCATTTGAAGGGGTAATTTAGAGTGGTGCCCACATGCTTTTAGCCATATAGTGTATCTTTTACATTTCAGCGGTGTCGGCTGGGGTGAGTGTTACCCAGTGCGGCTGCCACGCATGTGCTGTGATGTCCATGGTGTGACATGATCACGCAGACGCGGTGATGTACTTCACTGCTGGTGCCCATCTTGGTGAGGAGGGGATATGCCGGCAAAGAGAGGAGGGAATATTGACCTGGCCGGATTAGGTATGCCGCCGGGTGCCCGCCTCTCTCTTGTGCTGCTGTTGGACTCTCGGTGAGCGAGACTGTGGGCCCAACTTTTAACCTCTTGCCGTCCGCCCGTAGTAAAAAAACGGACGGACGGCACTGCAGCATCTGCGGGTTGCCGTCTCCAGACGGCAATTTTTTTCTGCTCGCGCGCGCCCCCTAGCGGGCACGCACGGGCAGAAAAGACCCGCTAAATGCACACACCAAGCCATACCCCCCTTGCGATGCCACTTAATGTAAGGAAGGCGCAGGATGAGCCTAGAGGTGGTTTAATCTTTTAAACCTAACTTCAAGCTTGGGATGTCCAAACCCCTTTGCTTCCTCCCAACTGCAGAAGTAATACCTTAGCCTTTATAAAGATAACTATACAAATGAAACAAAAATTGAACCTCAGCTCCAGGCAATCCTGAATGTAATACATTTTTACATGGTCAGTGCAACAAGTGCATCTTCACACTACATGGACTGCAAGAGGTGATGATAGCCTTTCCAGGGCCGCTCCCATAACACTAACCCTAGTGTTTATAATCTGCAGACTAGTAGGTAGGGTCTGCTTCTGGTTGGTTCATAAAGAATGATAGCCACCCATGGCAGACCCCATCCACTTGTCTGCAGTAAGCAGACATGGTTTGGTTCTGGAGCAAAGCAGAGGGAAGGTACACTTGTTGCAGTTTGCATGTAGCTGTTTACTGCTTACAAGGCAGCCCAGGGCAGTCTGAGGCTAAATTAGTGTTTTCAATCATTTGTACAGTTATACTTTAAGAATTGTAGGAGCGTCGATGACACAACCAAACAGATATAATCCAACAAAATCATCTTCTCCTCTTTTATTGGGGTGACCATTTAAGAGCCACCAGCAGAGAGAGGAAATGTCATTATGTTTCAAGCTTGCCTGTGCGATGATCACTTAATATGTGATGTTTCATCAAGTTCAGTGCACAGAGCACTTCTCGAAACAGTCGGTGACAAGGATTATGGACAGGATTAAAAGGGTTGGACAGGAGGAGCCTTTAGGCAACACAGAAAGCAAGTTTCCTAGGAAACAGGCAGCTGAAGAAGCATTTTGGAAAAATGTCCTTTTCAGAAGTAACCTTTTCAAACGTACCTCTTCCTGCGCTCTATCTTTAATTGTAGAACACAACAGAAAGTAGTAGATGATAGAAGTCATTTTATGAGAGAGGCCATGGAAATATGACAGGGGGTAGATGTGAAAGTTAAAGTGTATGTCCAACCAAAACTTTTTTTTGCTTTGGATGAACTAAGGAAGGTTTAGAACCGCTACTGGGTTACTACTCTTAGAAGGGCAGCAACAATTTCAGGGGGCACAATCCTAAAGACTAGGATGTTCAGATACCAAGTATCGTACAAGTACTGATACTTTTCCAGCTCCAAGACCAAACTAGAGAAAAAGTTAGGAGGCAGCTGTAATTCTTAAAGTAGTATTAAGGTCTGGGCGTTTTTTACCTTAATGCATTCTCTGCATTAGGGTAAAAACAGCCCAGCACCTTTTTTCTACCCCAGACCCCCCCACACTTACCTGTCAGCTGTGCTCGTCCCCGGTCCCGAAGCGATCCTCCGTTCCCCAACTTCCGGGTTGTGGGGAGGGAGGATACTGATGGCCGAGGAGCCATAGGCTCCTTTTGCCATCAAAGAGGGAAGGGGCGTGGCCTGCCACAGGGCTGTGTGTGTCTATGGACGCACACAGCCACTGCGGGCAGAAGCGTACACAGGTGCCTCTATTAGAACTATGGTGGCACCCGTGCAGGGGGCGGGGGAAGAGCGCTGTGGGGATCCACTAGAAAACAAGGAATGAAAAACTTTTAAAGAAAAAAAGCAACAGCCTCCAGCAATGGTGGGTTTCCGTTAAGGATAAATATAAAAAAGAATTAAGCATTAAAGGAGAACTATGAGGTGAGTGCTTTTCACTCACCTCATAGTTCTAGCCGACCTGTGACAATGAGACTGTCACAGGTCGGCTCAGCACATCGGGAGGTGAGCGAACACATACCGGCGTTCGCTCACCTATATATATACTGTATATGGGATGCACCGATACCATTGTTTCCAGTCCAAGTACAAGTACTGATACATTTTTGTTTATTGACATGTGACAGTTTTTCTAAAACAATACAGACTAATGATTTCAGGACAGTGGTGGAGCGCCAGAGCCAGGTCCCAGCTGCAACCTCTGCAACCCTGGTAGTTCTTGTGAAAACGCCAAGTATCGGCACTGGTATCTGAAGTGGTATCTGAACATCCCTAAGACTACTTTAGAGGAGTGCTGTCCAACTATACGTATAAATACATAAAGGCATATAAAGCATTTTTTTAGTGGTCACATTTTTCTAGTAAACAACCTCTGTTTCATCATAGAATAACATTCAAGTCAATTTTGGATATAGTACTTTACTGCTTCCTGCAATATGATTTTAAATCCAAAGGCCCCATCTTAGCATAGAGGAAACTATTGTGTATTTGGTCTAATGTTTCATGAAATTATTTCATGTTCAGATTTGTGTATTTTCCAACTGAGGGCTCCTTGTATATCTAGCAAATGTAGCTTTCATCCTTGTCGAAAGACAGGGGACATGAAACACTGATTAATGTTTTCAATCCTTTTAAATAGAATTATAGACCTGCATTACAGAAATGAAACAGAAAAGCACCTTTACTTTGCAGCAGGGAGCACAGCTT